GTTCCGTGTCAGTCAAATGACGTGTTAATTCACTGTCTAAACAGGCAAGCTGAAGGCTCTTGAAGGTCAAAGATACTACCTGTATCAAACTGTTGAAGTGTAACTTATATGTTTCAAAATAAACCGTAGTAAGTTCCTTCGCATCGGAGTGACTTGGTTCTTGACTTTTAACTTAATTAACTTAATACTTAAATAACAGGAATTCACCACTTTGTCAATTTGAAATACCTGTAGGTGTCCAGCATCTTGTCAGGGTGACTAAACAGAACTACTTTAACTGAAATTCGAGTACAGTCTAACATACAATGGTCTCGATTTGTTTTGTAGAACCACGTAACACGTAATTCATGTACCAGGTTATGAGCCACACTTAATATGTGAGCGTTGATGATACTATTCAACCACCCAGGCTGATACAGGCAGGAAAGGATTCAAACCGAAGACCCAATGGCTGAAGGTCAAGTGCATACGCCAGTGAGTCTTATCTCCCTGGGGGTAGTTCTAATTAGTCATTAGTCTACTAAACACAAGTATTAAACCATTCTTACATTAAAAAAACGTTGCCTTTCCTTGAATAGTTAAGTCAAGTTAAGTACAATGAAGTTTCATTTCATTGGAAATCGAATCTGTAATTGCATGCTGGCGGAGGTATTCTGACACTTGATATTTCAGTAGTCAGGAGAGTTATTCTTTTTGTAATTTGATCATGACCTGCAGCATGCTGGGGAATGAGGTAATTTAAACTAGTGATCGGTTAATCTGTGCAAATCAAATCTAAAGGAGTCTGACGACAGAATACCAAGGTCTGAAAAAAAATAGTGTTCATAATATTATAGTTAGCTTTCTCAGTATACTTACTTGGTGATCTATATTGATTTGTAAAATGTGTTGATTAATGCAGCAATGATAATTAACTATTATCCTTTCTGTTGCACTGTTACTTGCATTTACTCAACTTTATGTGTTAACTTACTCAGGTACCTAGTGTTTACTGCGAATTTTAGTATATAGAATATACTAGTGAAAAAGACTAAAGTAGGATATCGTCATTACTTCTTTGGATGTTACCAACCACTTCTGATCTGCAGGAAAAGGATAATGTATTAGTAAACTGCAGTTGTAGTTTTCAAGCTTGTAACATACTATGAAAGGAACTGCTCACCGAAAGAATCAAAAGTACTGTCTAAGGCCTATGTGTTGGAAGAACAAATGGTATGTTCTAAAAATATTCATTATCAAAACAAGATACGTCATTCGTGTTGGAATCGCTTACCACCTGTGGGATATTGGACATCTGAGATCCTTCATACTAATCCATAAGCATGTGAAAAGAGACTCTTCGTTGAACTACTCGTCTTCTGTCTATTCATGTGGACTCTGCCTTATAACGGTTCACCAAGGTGCATTTAAGATTAGTCACTTCTTAATTTTTCACTACCACAACAAATTTTGATTCTAGTTACGCATTATTGTCAGTCCATTGCATTGCTTTATTTTATGATCTAATGGTGATTTAAACTCATCATTTTCCTGTATATTCGCATTGATTGATTTTATTTTCATGTTCAGAAAATGGATCTACTATTATTATTTTTTGATTATCGCTAGATTCCACACCGTATTTTTGGTACACGTATGGAATTTTCAGCACGTGATATCGGTAGCCCAAATTTTGTAGGCCAACCACTGATATCACTTGTCTATCGGCAGGGGGTCAAACCCCTGACCATGTGCAAGGCTGACAAGAATCCTAACCGCGGTCCTACCGACGCACACTCTACTTTATGTTTCGGGAATGATTATCCAAATACCCTATGGGTAAGGAAATTCCCAATGAACTGTCCAGCATCACTTATTCTTTTTATTTCTATGAGTGCGATTAAGCGACAGGTCACTATATTTCCCAATGGACTTGTTAATCGTAGGTCCATATATTGTTATGTGCAGTTGTAAAACGTTTCTAAGTTGTAAATAGTTAAAGGATATGAAGTGATTTTATTTTAAGCTGTTGGTTTTAAGAACTTTGATTGTCCCAAGTTGTGTTTCATTACTAACTGATATGCGTTAGAGAATCATTGTAAATTAAGAAGTACTGATCAGCTGGTTTGCTTAAGTCTAGGAATCTTCATTAATCAGCTCCTCCACTAATGGTGGAACTCAGGAGCTTCAGTTTACGAGGCTAGCATGTCATCATTTAGCTAATGAGATATATATTCTATCGATTCATGATTGCAGCGCCACCTCCAGGTAGTGTTGTCGTCGAGTATCTCTCGTCCCAATCTATGCGTTGGCCTCCAGCGGTGATGAATTGTCACTAAACCTCCAGGCACTCCATCTCATAGTTAGTTACTCATAAGCAGTGAAAATGTAATTCAAAATCGCTTCAAATTATCTTGCTTAAATATCTGTTCATCAATCTTAAAATGGGATAAATTTCACTCATACTAATGATTTATTTTCTTTATTTTAGGCGTCTACTGTGTTTATTTAGTAACATTAGGATATATATTTTTTTTGCTAAAAACATATATTATGCTAATTATCATTCTGTACAATTTTATGTCATGACGATTAAAAATGGAAAAGATAGTTGGATAGACACAAGAAATCTGTACTAATTATACACACCAGTAAGAAGTAGAATTACTAAAGAGGGGTTGTGAGACTTACGTTGTCTTCCAATAAATCACTCTGTGAAAATAATATATTTCACGTGTAATGAAAAAATCAGTAGTTAAACTTGAATCGCTTTAATTCATCATGGTGACCGGTTTCCTATGTGTTGTAAAGCCCTTCCTGCATGTGTGAGGGTAATTAAAGTATAGTCTGAGCATCTCTATTCTAAAGACATCTAGCTGGTTATTTCTTTGGTATGTGTTCAGTTACACTACCTATATCCTTAAGTTAAAATCAGTGGTAGATGTCATAACAGTGGTGTCCTTAGTTAATGCAATTGCCTTTCAGACCATTTGTCTATGGCTCCGTTCACTTATTACTATCATTTCCTTTTGCGTATAAGTATTATTTCATACATAAGCTAAATCGAATAATATCAAACATTAGGGATATTTTGTTGAATAATTCTAACCTGAAAAATATGTCTTATCTTAAAGAAAATCTGGTATCCATGTATCGACTGACCTTTCACTGGATCATTCATTCTACCTATTTGTATCAGCCATTTGGTAGGCGAGTTAACTGATTTCAGTCAAGGCAAAAATTTAGAATCTAATCTGCATCGCTATTAGTTTTATCTATTCATGTAAATACTATGACTGAAACAATAGGCAGATGGAAGACCAGACAGCTGCAATACTAGGACATTGTCAAACAGCTATATGTATTTGAACAAAGAAAAAAGAAACATTGGCGAAGAATAATTTGGATCCATTTCATTTCGTTGGTTCTCATCACCTGCGTACAACCTGAATACTTTTAATAAATTAAAAATAAAGTGTACAATTTTAACAAACCTCTGTCCATTCATTAGCAAGCATATTGTCAAAACTTCATAGTAAAATAAGGTGTTGAGATTTACAGAGTGTCTAAAGTGTTACAACATACATACACCTGATTGACACAGGACATCGAGTAGATGTGCTGGAATCATTCAAAATAATTAACAGACAAAATACCTCAAGTTGTCTCAGGTTTGCTGAAGCTATAGCAATAAAACGATTGAGGCCTGACTTGTGTGTCCAAAAACAATCCGTTGTTGAATTTCGATTACCCTGGTGACTCACTTCTTAGTGACTCTTTATTTTCTAATTTTGTTAACTTATCTTTTTCACTTCAGCCCCCACTCCCCCTTGTTTTTCGCTTGACTCTCCTAAGAGACAATTTTTCTTGGTCTTCTGAGTTCTGCTACCTACATTACATCATCACCTTCTCATCTGACCTCATGTGCACCGAAATTCTAAAATTTTGATCTTCTCTTATCTAATTGCGTAACTATTACTAATTGTCTTTTGTTACCACCCCAGCAACCCAACCCTTAGTTAATTTTTTTCAAGAAACTTCTCTCCAACAAGATATATGTATATACATGTATGTGGTAACACTTTAGACACTCTGTAAATCTCAACGCCTTACTTTACTATGAGGCTCTGACAGTATGGTTGCTAATGAATGGACAAAGGATTGTTAAAATTGTACACTTTATTTTTAATTTATTAAAAGTATTCAGGTTGTACACAGGTGATGAGAACCAAGGAAATGAAATGGATCCAGATTATTCTTCGCCAATGTTTCTTCTTTCTTTCTTCAAATTTATAAAATGTGATCATGGTATGAAAAGCAATTTGTATGATTTCTTTCTAGGTATTTGTACATCTCTTCACATACTCGCCAGCCACACACATCGCCCGGAGCACGATCTCTGGCTGATGTACATCTAAACCTCTCGTAGTCAGCAGTTAGCCTGGCAGAGAGGAAAGGTTACGAGTGAAGCTAGCAGCCTCACCCCGCTGCTACTGTAACTTCAATGTTTAGGCCTGGAGACCTATGTTCCACATAGAACCCAAAGCAATAAAAAATATATATCCCATCGTATTTATCAAAATACTCATTATAGGAGTAAAGTAGATGCACATTTTGCTGAACGTATGACTATCTAGTATATTCATTAACTAACACCGTAAATTATTTTCAATGCAGCTTTGATTTCTTCAGTATTTGAAATACATTGAGAGTATGATGATAGGTATAGCATAGCTGAATATGAAGATTTCAATTCACTCTTGTTTATACCGAACAATTCCATACTTTGAAGCATTCTGGTACAAAAATGAGTAGTTGTGCTGAATAGAAATCATCGGTGACAATAACTGATGATATTCAACAGACTGCTGTTCGACTTCTAAATTGGTTAAACATCTTATCAACATGTTGGACACTTTTAATCCCATTCAACAACAAGAACAACTGTAGTCGAAGATAAAATTCCAGAAAAGTTATTTATGATATTTTTTTTTTTATTAAATATCATTCATCTCAAGATAACTTTACATGAAGGATTTTTGAAGTCACTGAAAATCTTCACTTTTTTTTCAGGTAACTAACTTACTAGATCTACTGATCCATTGTGGCCACTATATCACTTCGTATATAATCATTCACTCCTCCATATTTTGAGGCTATGATCTGCACGAGAGACAAAAACAAAACTTGAAATCAGCCAAGCATGATTAAGCCTTAAGTAATTAAAAATAAAAAGTAAAATATACAATTCCGCAAACATGGACTGATTTGAACTATTTGTCATGCTTTTAGAATAAGCTGTCGATAAACATTGGTATTATAATTATGTTTCAATCCAGTTAATTATATGCAAAGTGTACAGTCTATGGTTTTATATGGAAATCCAGATGATTCAAACCTGATTACGCGATCTGCTTCGTAGCATAAGTAGTCTCGAGATAGCAAGTGTAATTATTGTATAATTCATATTGCCGTGTGCATCGGTGGCACAGCGGTAGAATGCCTGCCAACCACGCATGGGGCTCGGTGTTCGATTCCCCGCCGACACACTCATTTACGTCAATGAGCCAGTAATAAGGCTGGTAAAGAGGGAACGTTGTGCATGAAGCTAGCAACCCTATTCTGTAAAAACAAACGCCAATGCTACCGAAGCTTCAAAGCTCTAGCTTGAAGCCCTGTGTTCCACTGGGAACGTGAAGGAATAAAAAAAACTCATATTACCGATTGAAATGATCAGTTAACAATCATCTACACCGACCAATAATGTCTGATAGCTTCATATAGTTGATTCAAGTACAATACAGTAGGTTATGATTGAATGTGAAGTGAAAATCAGAGTCATAGTAGGCTTCATACCAATGGCCTCGGATATATCTGTCCAGAGATCTTTTAGTTGAGCCGTGATACCCAACTGTTAATCTGACAGCTAAATCACCAATCATCACAGTTACTGCCTAGCTGTCATATGAAGGAGTGATACGTAAATGTCCGTTTAACATGACATTATCTGCCTAGCTAGAGGCCTTCCCTTGTAAAACCTAATCATAATAAATTAGAAGGACAGGACTAGTAAGACACTAAGACTATTTGGAACCACCATCGGTGTGAATGCAATTAAACGATGACCTAGTTAGCAGTTGGGTCTCATAGTTCAACCCATGGAGCTTGACTTTAATATTTCTCAAGCCACCGATATGAATTCTACCCTGACACAGATTTCTATTCCTTATTCATTCATCAAACATCACATCACTATTAGCCTGCCAAGGTAAAGCAGACTCGTCATCAATAAATACACTTGTTTGGTTTCATCTGTTTGAGAACTCATACATCTGGATTAATTTAACTCACATAACCAAAGAATCGTGAACTATTTGAATTATGAATAGCTACTTCAGCACACTAGTTGCACATATAATCCAAAAATGTATAGGAACTGACATATTCCTAGCGTTGAGTTCTGACTCTAGCTGATGCGGAACCAAAATTGTTCCCCACTTTTTGTATAGTTTAAGTCACGTTAATTAAAACCAACTGTAAATCCAGTGATGAGAACTCTCGTAAAGTGCTATGAGACTAAAATACACTTTCTTTTGGCTTGGTTTAACGATTCCTCACTAGAACGACAGTAGCGTTTTATTTGTATGGAAATTCTAACTCTTCATACCTGCATAGTTTATTTGCGCACTAAGGAATTTTATCTCTGATTGATTTCAACGGCTGACAAGACTGATTTTGAAAGTCTTCCTGGAGATTACACCTATCAAATATTCCATTGATATTACTGTTTTACTATGATACCACTATGGGTTTTCTTTTGACTTCACATTCATTCCAGTTATAATAAGGAAATCATAAGGATTAAATCTTAAAATAAATTCATTTCAGTAGTTTTAAGTGTTATCAACAATTCCTATAGTCATATAAATGCTTATATATCTAGATTAACAATTATGGGTAGGCATCTTGGATCCCAAGAAAATACGATATCATGAACACAGTAAGGTTGATGAACTTTCAGGTGATAGGGATATTAGCTACTAAAACAGTGATTATGATAAACAAAGTGATTAGAAAGAAATAAAATGTACAAAAGTGTTATCGATCAAATCGCTGTAAACCAACATTTGAAAATTAGTCAAATGTCCATTAATGGTTGGTGAGAATTCGTGAACAGTGGAGTCCATCAAGATGAATATGAGGACAGATAATCTCCGACGAAATTGGCTGGTGGTTTTGATATATAACCAGAGCTGTCAGGGGTTAGGATTCAAGGGCCATTGGATCCCGTCGCAGTGCCTGAAGGTCGTGAGTTCAGTTCATGGTGAGATGATGGATGTGTACTACTGAAGAATCCAAAACTAGGATGAAATAGATGTTTTCGATGGTTCTCTAACCGAAGTAATTTCGTGGTCAAAGCTGAAACCAATCAAGTCCCTGGAAAATAAGACTTAAGTAATGATAGTGTATGACAACTTACCTAATACAGCGTTCATGTGAGCTAAGATAACTCAACGGGAATGACTGATGCCTAATGATTTGTTGGTTACCACTGGCTGTTGTGATAAATATGTTCCATGAAGCTGGAGGATTTAATTGATTAGTCGCCTGAGAACTATTTTTTATCGAACTAAACTTATGCGAGCATTATATGTTTCCATTTTCAGAATATCTGAATGTCCTGGGTATCCAAGGGAAACTTCACCTGGAACTCTGTAATTTATAACTGATGGACTTTAGACAGGTGGGTTTTTAAGGTTAATGTAAATTTCATGGATTAATAAACACTAATTTCTAGTCAATGGTAACCAAACATTCCTTATTCAACAGATTTTATAACTGCACAGTGAGAGATAATTAGGTTTACAGCTTATCCCAGCAACAGCGTTTATGATAGCGGCGTAGTCCGTTGCTGTATTCACGGAATGACATAAAGAATATATTCTTTATATATTTGACAAAAAATTGTGAACTGAAAAAAGTTTTTATGATGTATTTACTTGGACGGCGTCAGAGTTCTTGCTAGTTTGTAGCAGTAAAAATTGACCGACCGTCACAGCTAGGCGGTAAGTTTCAAAGTTAAACATGCTTTTGTGCTAGTATACGTCGGCTGTTGCATGACAGATACTTCGTATTTATTCGTATCTCAGTAGCATCCGTTCATGCCAAGGTATTTAGGGGCATGTTATTACCTAATCACTCGAAATAATTCTCTATCGTTGCCTAAAATCCTTTTTTTCACTGAATGATGTGTTAAGAACCATCCCGTTTCTTATTTACTATCTGAGAACAAACGATTTTTAGACTATAAAGAAATATGACCTTAAATGAGATTGATTTTCATTGGTACATTAGTTGAAATTGTTTATTATTGTTTTGTTTACTATGATTTCACTGGCTTGACAACTTTGTTCTAGCTTGCATGTTCTTTGTTCTACGTGTAAGATGGACAGATCGATTGGAATTAGTTTTTTTTTTATCTATTTAAAATATGTTTACAAAAATAACAAATTTATATGCTAGGACTGATGAAAATGAACTCATTTTTAAAGCTGTTCACGTGACCAACTGATATTGTTTCCTGAATTATTAAACGTTTCGTCTCTTTTTCAGAATCTTTGACCGTACCAATGCACAAACATAAGCCCAGGATTGTCAAGTAACATGATGATAATGTAAAGATTCATTCAACGCGCTAATGCCTAGTACTGTTCTGTTAACATTTGATTTGGATTGGTGATGGGGCTGGGAACTTTGTAGGCATATCCAACCAAGGTGGCTAACAAACAGTGTGGAGCATTCAAATGAAAAGCACACGTGGGAGTCGCTGGTCAGACAAGTGGTGGAGGAGTTCGACTACTCAGTAGACAGACAGTAGGCACTCCAGAAGTTTTGTACTTCAAAGCTCGAACCAGTGTTATCACTTAAACTGGCAAGCGTACTTTATCATTTCTCATTAAATGCAACTTCATCCATCAATGCACTACTCTGACGTTATTATTTTTAAAAATCATTGTCAGTAGCACACATCATACTGACAATGAAAACCTTGCAACGCAAGAATTTTTTTAAGGTAAAATGATGCGTCAGTGGCATAGCGGTTAGGACGCTCGCCGACCATGCACATGGTCCGGGTTTCCATCCCTGGCCGACGCACTCCTTTACCTCGCTAAGCCAGAAATAATGCTGGCAAAGCAGGAAGGTTTGGCATGAAGCTAGCAACTCCATCCTGTAAAATCAACACTGCTACAGAAACTTCAAGCCACAAGCTTGAGGCCCTATGTCTCACTGGGGAACGTGAAGGAAAAAAAGGTAAAATGGAACAAGGTATTAATTAATTTGTTGCACAATCTATATATGAGAGGTGACTGACTTCTGATTCATAAAAAGTGATGCATTAAGATTTTATATTTCACTAGGTGTTTGTAGTTTAATTTTAGTTAAGAAGTTGGTATTAAAAGATGATTTATTGTGTGTCAATCTCTCGGTGTCATTACACCTCGCATTATAACAAGAACTTTTATGTTGTTTTTTTAAATGGCCAGAATTATTTATAAACAATAAATATGCATAAGTCAATCAATAAAAAATCTGTAAAAAAAACTGGATTATCTCAGTGAATACATTACTGATAGTGTTTACCTGAGATACAAGTAAATAAGCTGTCACTCTTCGTGTACATTGGACAAGATACGCATTTCAAAATAGATCCCTCTTACGAATGAACATCATTTGGAAAACTACAGAAAATTAACAGGCGATGAGCAACCTTCTTAAACCACTGACTTACTCAAGCTTATATCCACTGAAATACGCCTTATTCACTATCTAGTTACATCTTTATATCGCCATCTGTACAGACGTCTATTTACAAATAGGTTTCAACTTACTGGGGAAGAGTTTTCGGAGGAAACAGGCAGAAAAAACATTTCAGGTTATTAGACCATGGTTTGAAAAAGATAGCATAGCTGCAAATTACATTTTATTGATTATTAGCTTATTTGAGAATTCTAAACAGGAAGGAAGTACTTTTAGATACCACATGATGATGTAAAGTGTATTAAGGTATTTTTCAGAATAAAGCTATTATTATTTCGAAAAAATGTGTTTCACTTTAGATTTGAAACTCCTTTGCAACAGGCAGACGTAACGCTATTCGGAAT